TCCTCATCCTGCATTTTTTTTTACTCCCAAACTCCTGTCCTGCCTTTATTTTATTAGTTTATCCCGACTTTTTTTTTACATAAATTGTCATCTTGCTTTTTTTTTTGCAAAGTTGCTCATCCTGCCTTTTTTTTACTCCAAACTCCTGACCTGCCTTTTTTTCAAATTTCGTCCTAGTAACCCCCCCCCCCCCTAACATAAATGGTAGTTCCCGTGATGCATATTAAATCCCTATCCCTCTTTTCAGCACCATTTATTGCAACATTTGACAATTTACCAAAAAGCAAAGTGTTACTCTTGTCCACGTCGTCCAGGAGAGTCTGTAGTTTTACATCGGTAGAATTCGAATTTCGTCTCTTATATTCACACGTATCATTGCATGTTATTTGCAGTAGTAAAATAGTTGAAGTACTCAGTATTTATATGAAAGATGCACGAGATTTGCCACTGAACTTTTAAGTATTAAACCGTGACACTTCGAATTCAGCTCACTCAAAGCATATAATGATTTTACCGATTATATATTTTATTTTAACTATTTACAATTCGTTTGTTTTAATTCTTATATAAAACGTAGTTACATTTTTTGTCTTATGTTTTGTTTTATGAGTTTAAATGTACAATTATAATATAAAAAGTATTTTTTATCACCTTTAATTTAAAACTAATATTTATTTTCTAATTATTCATCTTTTTTAAAATTATAGTTATTGGTTAAATTTGATACAATATTTTCATTTTTTATTTTCTTTTACGCTAATACTTAGGACAGCGGTTAGGACATCCTAGCTAAGATAATCCTAAGATAGCTTCGATGTTCATGCTGAGACATGTCGTAAGTCGGTCCTAACTATATCCTAATTTCTGTCCTAAGAAATTCTTATGACCGATCTTAGGACAGTTTCGATAAACAGGCCCCAGGTCTATGACTTTTTTAAAAGTAACAATTATATTTATATTCACAATCAGTGGCGGATCGAAAGGGGATGGGATCCGGGGTTTTGACTCCCCTTTTTGTGAACGATCAATGCATTTAATGGAGACATATATTTGGACCCCCTTTATATCCTGGCTGGAATCGCCCCTGATATTACATGTAAATCAAGTCCCGGGTTACTGTTAGCATAATAGCATAACAGTAATCACAAAGAGTGTGGTAATTTTAAAAAAGACGAGAATTTATAAATATACAATTCTTGAAGAGGGGAGAGTGCACTTCACGATGATCGAAAAAAGGGCCTTGCACGTTATTTTCATCATCTTGTCTGAAACAGTCTGAATAATGAGCTTCAAGGCGAAGCGCGAAAACAATAAGTCATGTGAAATACTATTGACAAACACGTTGTACGGACAAACCCTTAAATCCCTCAATGTTATGTCAAATGAATTATAGCGAGGAAAGGTAAATTTAATTTAATATCAAAACTAAATATTTGTTATATTTCGCTCCTGATTTCTCAAGAAATCATAGAATCAATAAATGTATAAATTTTAATTATGCATGTCTGTGTGAGATCCATTTCATGAGACCAAGGATTTCTATAAAATCCTTGATGGGACCCTTTATATATACAGTTTTCTATTTTCCCCGGAAAATTTAAAAAAAAATATAATCTTTTGGGAAATAATCCGATTTTGTTGAATTATTTCCCTTCATAATTATGATAAATCCTTTTAGTTCTTCAATTTTAAATTAAAATAAATATTTCATTTTGATCTAACGACAAACTTTTAAAATTGTAGTGGCATGATCAGTCAACTGATTAGTTGCATGGCTGATTACCAGTAATTTTCCATATGACAGTGGCGTGTACCCTTGGGGTGTGTATAACTTATTTTGAATACCTTAATTTTCTGGTGAACATCCTGTCCACGTGTAATACTTAGTATATATTGCAACAGATGACATTAAACAAATTTTCTTTGTAACATCGGTGTCCATTTCATGTTCAACCACTCAAAATTTTCACAAAAAAGATAATATAATAAAATCATTAAAAAAAAAGATTTAAAAAAACTATAGCAAATAAACTTCGCAATGAGTAAACGGGGATTTGTGTTTTAAAGGGCTTATTTCCAGTGGATATATTTCATACTAGATAACTAGACCTGAGATAACTTTTTTTGTAATATATATTTTATTATTTTCATATCATTCTCAAATCTCGGTCATCTTAAATAAAGATGTACAAACAATAATTTTGTTATAACTCATAAATATATGGTTAATCATAATTGTTACAAATTATAAAATGGTAAGTCAATGCCCGATGTGCCGCCGTCTGTTGCAAAACTACGATTTAATCGTTTAAATGAAAGACGTGCACTGCCTTCATCGGAACAGAGAAAAGTCCACCTAGTGTACATTAAAGAGTATCCGTTTGTTATGCTGAAAAAAAAAGAGATCATCATAAACTATTTAGCAGACCTTCTCGTGTAAAAAAAACCAAACTTTTAACTGAATTAAACAAAAAATTATCAAACAAAACTCATTAGAACACTCATAGTAACATTTTGTTTAGACCTGAGATAACTTATAGTAAGATAGTAAGATTATTTATATGTCTCTGCTATAATGTACAAAATTTTGAACAGCTTCAATTATATGGCCTTATCATTGGTAATATATCATATTTGTATCAGTTATTGCTGAACGTGTAACCAAATTCAAATGAAGAAATAGGCTCGAAACCGCATTTTTTAAAGATATTTTTTTCAATCCCAAAATAGATAATAGATATGCAGATTAAAGTCCAGATGAGAAGATTAACTTTCTTTTCTACCGAAGTAAATATATTAACAAGGATTTAGGATATCAATAAATTATTAAATTCATCAATTTATTAAATTTGAACATGTGAACCAAACAACGAAAAAAAAACGGGAAATTGGCTATACCTTTTTGGTATTAGCCATGCAGCCATGTATGTACCAGCCATTTTAACTTATTGTTTTCTTAACCTTTAAAGAATACATTTTAAAATGAACTACCTTATTTATAGTAGTTCAAGAAAAAAATATATATATTTATTGTTTTCTGTTTGGTATTAAATTAATATTAAGATCCATTTTCCGACCGTATCACGGGCAGTCTCAATTACAAGACCTACATGTACCTATCATATATTATTCGGTACGTCAGACACACCCGACATTAATCAACCAAAAACTCAATATTTTACAATAGGGAATGAATATCTCCCACGTTCACTTGTCCCTTGAAGGATCAATATTGAATTCCTTCCATCGCCCCCCCCCCTTTTTTTATAAGATTACATTATGACGTATGTTTTTTTTTTAATTTTACGAAAGACCAACAAATCGTTTTTTATCACCAAATTTGTCTTTGCTGAGATTAACACTAAAAAAGTATAACAAAACGTAACGATTGAAAACTCACAGTTCAGTTTTTAAGATATTTTTTTCTTTGGAAACTAACAGACTAATTTTCAAATTTTTTTTCTTGAACCATTATTTATTAAAACGAATTAATTTTGTAAACAAAAGTTATTCTTAAATATTGAATTAATTATGATCAATGATTGTAAAGAAAAAAATCCATCATAGTAGTTTGTTAATTTACTGGCTCCATGGTGTTAAACATGTCACCTTTCTTTTACAAATAACTGATTAAAAATATGAAGCCTTTACTGTAAAATAAATCATTATAATAAAATAAATTCATCCAGATTTTTCTCTCATAACCTTTCAACAGTTATTGTAAACTAATTTATTCGAACTATAATAGTCCTATGACTTGCTGTCCGTTAACCAATATTTATACTTTATAAAGTGTTTTCATATTCATTGATCATTAACTTCATGTTTTGCGAATACTTATAAGGGGGTAATTATTATAGCCAGTAATAGCTTACAATTTATCTAAAGAAAACGAGAAGCTATATTCAAATTCTGAGATATAAATCTAGTTCTTTAAAAAAAAAATCTCAACAACAAAATTCTACACTTTCATTTATCTGGGTCTTTTTGTCTCCGCTTCGAAGCCGCCATCCCGATTACCAAACATATCTATTCGTTTGGCAATATACAATCATGTAAGCAATATACAACAGGCAGTAGATCTGAATTTGTAAATTGTTATTTTGGATTTTACCTGATTAGGACGTGTCTCGTTGAATTTTCTAATAAACTTACACACACATAATCTGACTTTTAATCTTGATGTTAGTGAGATCTATAAGAACATAGAGCTACTGTATAGGCCTAGTTGCATGCAAGTCTTTACAAATTATATATTTTGGTATGCTATAGTTTGTTTTTATAGACTATTTGTCATTTGGTCGGGTTTTTTTTTTGGTTTTTTTTTTTAGTTTTTGACATGGCGTTGACTCGAGTTTGATATATTAAGCATCTTTTGTGCTGTATTTTAACAATTATTTACAAGCATGCTGCATGTTTACACATTCATCACTATACCGCATCTAAATATAGCTTTATTGTAAAAAAAAAATAAGGAGATGTAGTATGATTGGTGATGAGACAACTATCAACCAGAATTTAAAATACCTGATATAAGCAATTGTGACTTACTTTCTTTACTCAGAGTGATCGTAAATTAATCAGATAAGCTGGAGGAGGGGTGGGGACTTCATATTAAAAGAAAAGAAATTAGCATTAGTTTTTTGTGATAAATATATAATAAACTCACAGTAACAGAAATAACTCTTGAAAGCTCTGTCAGATCCCGGCACTTTTAACTGTTTTTTTTACGCGTGCTAGAAAATGCAGCACCTGGTTACAGGGGCTTATTTGACAAATTATCATCTTTCGTAATTTAAGTTATAAAATCTAAATTTGAAGTGATCTAAAATGTTCATGACTAACGAGTATTTTCACTTGTACGATTTTTCAGTGAAATGAGTCTAAGAGTATATACATGTATATCGGGGTACTGACTGCATAGTAAAATATTTATGTATCTATTAGTTGCGGCTCATGTTGGTCTTTTAAGTAAGTTTCCTTCCCCCGCATTACTTGATCGCTTTTGTAAAAAAATAAACAGCACAACAACAACAGCACTCGACGTCAGTTTTGTACCAAAAAATGAAAAAAATATTCAGAAAGAAGGCTCATAAAATTCAAATATTGGTAAGCACACACACTAACTTGTCACTACAGACATGATCTTTTTGTTAATGCGCCAAACTCGTTTCTTCCACAGGACGATGTCGATGGTGGGGAAAACAGTCCAAATAATTATGACGTCTTGCAAGGCTATTTAGGCGTCCCAGAAAAAAAATTAAAATAGCCTTGCCAGACGTCATAACTTTTTGGACTAGGGAAAACCCAAGAAATCATTAGTTCCCCAAATGAGTATCCTAGTTTAAAGGTTTTTTTAATATATACATGATCTGGGAACAGTATATCTAACCTGACATGATATAGCTATTTCATATTGGAATGGCACATATTCATGAAAAATCAACAAATGATCCAAAAGTCGGAAAGATGAATATAGTCCTCTGACTTCACAAACTTGGAAACAGTTGTGATGTTGCTTCGCTGAGCTAGAGATAACTGTACGACCATCAACAATGAGCAAAATTCACACCATATAGACATAGGTGCTTGAGGACAGGAGTTGAGATTCACGTTGATAGTAAACATGCATATTAAGAGAAAAATATGGTATATTGTATATATATGGTACAAATAAGTGATATATATTGAAAAATCTAAGATTTATGATAATAAGGGGGAGGGACTGGGGGGCTCAAAACAGGATCCTGTCCTCAAGCACCTATGCATATAGAAAGCTGTAAATATAATAAAAGGCCTCGAAATGACAAATGTAAAACAAATCAACAAGAAGCCTAACATTTATAATAAAATTTAAAATAAAATTGAAAATAGAAATGGGGAATGTGTCAGAGAGACAACAACCCGTCCAACGAGCAAATAACAGTCGAAGGTCACCAATGTGACTTCAATGCAGCGAGAATCCCACAACCTGAGCCATGCTTCAGCTGGCTCCTAAACTAAAATGTATACTAGTTCAGTGATAATGGACGTCATACTAAACTCCGAAATATATAAAAGAAACTAAAATTAAAAATCATACAAAATTGACAAATGCTATATAGGCTCCTGACTTGGGACAGGTGCAAAAATATGGTGGGGTTAAAAGCTTATATACTGTAAATTTCAGAAATTATTGCATGCATTTATTAATATTGCCAATTAACATAATCATGATAATTTCCCTTTCAATTTTTAAAAAAATTTATGAAACTTTGGTGAATTGATTTTATATATTGACATAAACTCCCTTTTCATTTTTATGACCCATAGTGGGTCAACCCTTGACCGTCTGTCCGTCTGTCCAAAAGTCATTGGTTTTTGTTCTCTAATTTAGTTTTCCTCAACCAAATGTTATAAAACTTTTACAAAAGCTTATTACCACAATACTCAGATCAAGTGTGAATTTTGGTGGTGTCAGTGTTACCGTTCTAGAGTTGTGCCCCTTTACAAATGGAAAAATTGCTGAATTTTTGGTTTCCCGCTCTCTAACTTTAACTGTAGTTTGCCTCAACCAAATGTTATGAAATTTGCGCACAATGCTTATTACCACAAAAAACAGTTTGAATTTTGGTGGTGTCACTTTTACTGTTCTAGAGTTATGTCCATTACAAATGGAAAAAATGATGAATTTTTCGTTTCCGTCCTCTAAATTAAGTTTGCCTCAACCGAATTTTATAAAACTTTAACATATTTAACGCAATACTTTTAACCACAAAATCAGATCAAGTTCAAATTTTAGTAGTATAAATTTTACCGTTCTTCAGTTATCTTCCTTTATAACTTTATATGATATGCAAGCCGGAGTATCATCCCCTATTTATTTTTATATAAGATGCAGAGTTATGGAATTTTAGTTGTTGGAAAATTGTTTAAAATTGTCCATTTTCACACTTTGGAAGGTTTTAGAATTGTATTTGTTCAAAAATCACGGCCTTAAACTTATATACACTTGCGATATCCCTAAATGGAGCCAAATTATTTTCATGTTTTGTTTCAATGAATACCACTCTGTGTGCATGTCCTTTTTTAGTTCACCTGGCTAGAAAGGCCAAGTGAGCTTTTCTCATCACTTGTCGTCCGTCGTCGTCTGTCGCCTTTGTTAACTTTTTACATTTTGAACTTCTTCTAGAGAACCACTGAATGGAATGGAATCAAACATGGCATGAATGTTCCTTATGAGGTGCTGACCAAGAGTTGTTACTTTGTAACCGATCTATCATCCAAGATGGCCGGCAGCGGGGGACTTAGTTTAAGATAGGACCCTATAGGAAATACATACAAATGTCTTCTTTTAGAGAACCACTGAATGGAATGAAACCAAACATAGCATGAATGTTCCTTATGAGGTGTTGACCAAGTGTTGTTACTCTGTAGCTGATCCATCATCCAAGATGGCCGCCAGCGAAGTAGGACAATATTAAACCAAATACGGCCTCAATCATTATAAAAGTATCTGTTATGATTTTTATCTTTTTTATATGATTTCAAAAACCCAAATAGAGTCAGGTGAGCGACACAGGCTTTAAGGGCCTGTAGTTTTGTTTTTTTTAGTTACGCAGTGCTCACAGTTTTTCTATAATGTAGTTGATCATTAAAATTCATTTAAAGCATAAACCCAAGCTAAAAGGGCAACAAGCTTATCAACCACTCAAGGTACAGCTTTTTATTAAACACGCATTGATATATACATTAAACAGCAAAATAATTATTGATGCAAGATGTCATTAAATAATAATTTTTACTCTTTTTATGTGTAGGACAAGAACTATAGAAGATACAGAGAAATTATAAACAGCAGAAATGATAGGCAATTTCAAATTTGCAGAAGTCAACAAATCCTAAATGGTAAGTAAACTCATCATAGATACCAGGATTAAATTTTGTATTTACGGCAGACGTGGTTTCGTCTACAAAACATTCATCAGTGATGCTCGATAAGACTCAGAAGGCCACTTTTATAAAAGTTATTGCCCTTGAAAGATGATTATCATGATTATTCTAAAAATAAAAAGATGTGGTATATTAAATATGAAAACTATTGATCATGGCTCTAACAAAGCAATTATAGGCCAGTGATGGCCTTCAATAATGAGAAAATCCATGCCCTATTGTCAAAGTAGTCAGCTATAAAAGGCCCTCAGATGAAAAATTGAAATAATCCCAACTGTAGAACTAATTGCCTAGTTTATAACAAAACAAATTAAAAATAAATAAATATGACAGATATGAAACAACAACAACCACTAAATTTTAGTGTCAGAATAAACTGCAGGCGCCGAACTTGGGACAGGCACAATCAGAATATGGCAAGGTTATATAAAAATAAGAAGATGTGGCATGATTGCCAATAAGACAACTCTTCACCAGACAACAAATGACATACCGGTAGATTTCCTGCAAAAAAATAATCAGTCTGGATCGGACTAGGCAGGAAATTTATACCTTTCCTTTTATCGAAAAGCCACAAAGATCTGTTAGTACTCACAGTTACTGACAGCTATAGTTAAAAATCAATAAAAACTAATACATGTAATACAAAAAATCAGGTTTGTGAGCACTCAACCCTACCTTAACTTTGGACAGTGGTTTAACAGCTCAACATATAAAGAACAAACTGTAAAATAACCGTTGCAATTGCCTCAACTCGAAATATTGATAAAATGCACAAAAATAACTAATATAAAAACCCATAGACAAAAAGCACAGAATTAAGAGAACTCACAAGTAAGAAAGGAAATATTCTTAAAATGTTCATAAACATGACAAAATAAGCTTTTTTATTGCTGTTTCTCTCTCCATTTATAACATTTTATTTGTTTATTTTGTGTATTTATAGGTGATCAGACATCTTGGTTTTCATGATCAATAGGTCAATACTGAAGAGGAAACTGAAAGTTGATATCTATCTACATGGTGCGCTAATTGGATTAATGTGAAATGGAATGTGTGCTTTCCTGCAAAAAAGAAATAGGAAATTTCATCAAAATCACATGATAATGGCTATAAACAAAATGGCGTTCTATCATAGATGCAGAAAACACAATTGTATAAATGCAACAACATATTATATATATTTGTCGAAAGAAGGGAGAAATGAAGAAAAAAATAGTATTTTGTTGTTGAAAGGAACACCAGCTTTATCCACTCATTTACATCGCTCCCTCATATCAAATATACTGAAGAACATCTTCGAAGAACAAATTGCAAAAATGTTTTCTCTAAGAATTGAAGGAAACTGTTTAGTGAATGGAATAATTTATGCATTAAACTTTTACGTAGTGGATTGAATAACTGTACACAGCAGCTGAAACAGAGGAAAATTAAAATTCACAAGAAAAGTGTTTATTTTATTATTTAATTTGCAAATATGAACGCATTCTTAAGAACACCACAAATGGTATGACATTCAAATTGGTTGCTTATTAATGTATACAATTGAAACAATAACAAAGAAAACAGAAAACAGAATACTGTGCTACAAAAAATATTTTATAAATCAAAGTTAAAGTCATATAAAGTATGTACAATACCTTGACCTAAACAGTCAGACTCACTGTATTGTTTTTGTATGTCATGGTAATTTTGAGTCAAAAATTTATTAAAGTTTTAAATATCATTCGTATCATTTATTAAGTCTTGTAAACATTATGTTCATACTGTTTGTGTAGTGAAGAAGTTTACAATGAGTAAAAATAGGGGAAAACATTTCCTACAGGGAAAGTTGATGTACAGAAATTTCCTTAGAGGAAATTTGGAGAACAATGTTTTCCTTAGAAGAAATTTGTGGTATTGAATTTTCCCTCAAGGAAAAGTGTTTGTTAAAAATTTCCTCAAAGGAAATTGCAGTTGACAAAATTTCCTCACAGGAAAAAGTATTTCCTCAAAGGAAAATTTGAAGCTGCAAATTTCCTCAGAGGAAAATTTGAAGCCGCAAATTTCCTCAGAGGAAATAGAATTTCCTCAAAGGAAAATTTGAAGCCGCAAATTTCCTCAGAGGAAATAGAATTTCCTCAGAGGAAATATTAATGCAGCAAATTCCCTAAGGGAAATCTTTTTCCCTTGAGGAAAATACAATTTCCCTTAAGGAAAAATCTTTTTCCTATAGGGAAATTTGATTTCCCTTGAGGAAAACTACTTTTCCTCTGAGGAAATTGTTGAAAAAAGGGGCATAACTTTTTCAACAGTGGTGCTAGAGCCAAAATTTTTTAGGACAAATATCAGGGAACCAATACCAACTAAGTTATCAACTTTATTTTGACTTAACTCCAAAAATTAAGGTGACAACTTTTGCACTCAGCGGAAGTGCAAACTTGTCCCGGAGACTGTTAGTTACGTTTTAATAACATTTACAATTGTTTTGATGCATTTAATAGAAGTGGCCACCAACAAAATGTCCTTTCCCAACATAACTAATTACACACTTCGACTGTTCTTTTCCATTCATTTTGTTCCGAAAATATCCGAATATGAACATTTTGAAAGTTTCCAAGTGGTTATGCGTAGTATTGCTGAGCGTAACTTCTTTCAGTCATTTTTTAGTCATTAATTGGAAGCAACTTTATCATCTCCCATTAGCTCCTTTGGGCAAGAGGTTATGGCATGGTATTGGTTGCAAAAATTTGATATTTTTCATTTAAATGCAATATTTCTTATTTAATTGGTATATATCTTCATTTAAATGCAATATTTTTTTATTTGAATGGTATATTTTTTCATTTAAATGCAATATGTTTTATTCAGATGGTATAATTTTTCATTCAAATGGTATAATTTTTCATTCAAATGGTATAATTTGTCATTCAAATGGTATAATTTTCGTTCAAATGCAATATTTTTTATTCAGATGGTATAATTTTTCATTCAAATGGTATAATTTTCCATTCAGATGGTATAATTTTTCATTCAAATGGTATAATTGTTCATTGAAATGGTATAATTTTTCATTCAAATGGTATAATTTTCGTTCAAATGCAATATTTTTTATTCAGATGGTATAATTTTTCATTCAAATGGTATAACTTTTCATTCAGATGGTATAATTTTTCATTCAAATGGTATAATTTTTCATTCAAATGGTATAATTTTCGTTCAAATGCTATATTGTTTACTCAATTGGTATAAAATGTCATTTGAATGCAATATTGTTTATTCAATTGGTATAGTAGTTTTTTTATTTATATGCAATAATTGCATTATGGGAAATTCTTTGACGTCATAAGGTCAAATTTGCAACAACGTTTGTGATTGGTCGGTAATTGTTTGGATTTCTCCCCTTTCTTTCTAAACTTGAGTGACCAAGAATTAAAAAACGCGTCAGAATATCGCCCTCTAACTAAATTTGGCGTTCGTGCGAGTTCGTGCACTGGCTGTTAATGCCAATAATGGCCAGGACGAGCAAAAAATGCGAGTGACAAGTAATAACAATTAATTTGACACACAACTTGTTCATGGATAGAAACAGATGCCTGCGTGCATGGCAAAAACACCTCCAATGAAAACCTTTTCTGAAGAAACTCTCCTACAGTCTACACATTGAAATAAAAAAAAATACATAGCTAGCCCCCCTCCCCCTTCTAAGTCCAGATACATGTAATCATAACGTTCTTTAGTGCTATATAATTTATTTTACTTTTCTTGATCCTCAGGAAGGCATACATGAAAAAAGAATAAAAAGCATCCAGGACGTTACAATTATTTGGACTAAGCCCCCTCTTTTTTACTACATGTACAAAAAAAATCACCTAATTACGACAGCAGAACCAGAAACCCACAAGTAGAGACATAAGCTGTTATACTCCGGAACTAATTCTTTAATAAAGACAATTCAGGATGAATTGGAACCAGTTACTAACCCATGTTACAACAATAGTCCTATTACATAGGACTTCACTATATGAGGCGTGCACTTCATATTTAATACTATCTATAATATGTGCTCTCATGTCTTATGCTGCAAATTATTTTACATTTAGGATTCGTTGCTGAGCTTTTTTTTACTGTTCTCGTCTCCGAATCCCTTAAATAGATTTTTTTTCAAGCCCCACAGTAGTTCAATAATTACTATATGTCTTTGCATAAATAAGTATGCAGGGCATATTTCAAAAAATATTTTATCTTCAGGACTTTTAAACGATTTACTTTTCAATACTGCATTGGGAAGGGGGTATACAAGTTTATTTTGTAACACATTATATAATATAATAGGTATCCAACAAATTATATGATTGTATGTTTAGCTATTATCTAGACCCGTACAAAATGTATATAATTAGACACATTTAACCGGGGCGGATCCAAAACCTCGGTGTCTATAGGGAGGGGGGAGTAGGTTCAAATTTAGATATTTATATAGAGATGTATATATGCGAGTATTGGCAGTAATGGTTATGGTGTGTGTGTGTTTGAGGTTAGGGGTTTCAGATCAAAGATCGTTTCTATAATTCTATATCTTTTAGTTTTTACCATTTCACTCTATTCTTTATCCTTTGATCTCTATTATATTTGTCCTAAACATGCGTGACATATTTGCCACTGGACATAAGGCAACCAAAAGTCAATCAACGTATTCTGTATATTTCATCATTTCTTTATTATGTTATCTATAGGTTTGGTCCCGCCCCCTATATATTTTTTGCACATTAGGGACGACATCAAAAGTTCAATGTAGGATAAAAAAAACTTAATTCATATAGTTTTTTTCACTGACTCCCTACCCCCCTCCCCCCCCCCCCCACCCCCCCCCCCCCTCTTAACTTAATTTGGGAAAAATTGATTGACCAATAAAGATATATATAAAATCGATGTTAATTAAACAAAACTTACAGCAATTTTGACTCCCCCCCCCAAACTATTTGAATTAAGTTTTTTATCCTTCATTGATTTTCTGATGTCGTCCCTTATCCTCTCTATGTAAACCCAATTCATGTCCTGATAAATGGGGACTCATGCAAAGCATCATATGTGGTTATCAAAACAAGAAACATTTTCATATTATAATAATTAATGTATGCTAGGACTTATAGATAGATGTCGTTAGTCCCAGGTCATGTAATAAAGTAGGTCTTATAAAAATACAATAGCATTTTAATTTTGATGATTATATATATGTTTATATATTTAATAATGCCATTTTTTTGGAAAAAAGGGTAGGGGCAAGGCGTTTTAAAAACATATCAATGGAGCGCGTTTTTTTTTTTTTTTTTTTTGTTCTTCGGAAGTGAGCCAGAAGAAGTCCATTTCTGTTTTTTTTTTTTTTGCATTGGGAAGATCTTCTGGCTCTCTTCCACCTCTTCTTTTTTGAAAGGTTGACGGCAGAGGCACATAACAAATATGGCGTCGCTTAGTCTAAATGAAATTAATAAATTTATGAATGCAGATATATTAGAATGTGAGCTGTTTTATAAACGTTTTTATGGTATGACAGCCTTAGTAGGACATCCCTGTAGGACGATAAGCTGGATAAATATAAGAACTACACGGACAATAACAGTTAAGGGACGATTATTTGATATTCTATGGGAAGGGATTTTGATTGATTTGTGTTTAACGCTACTTTCAACACTATTGGGCTATTCCGTGGTGGTCAGTTTAAATTTATAGATAAAGTATGGGGAAGGGAAGAGAGGGCATTATTATTCATTTCAATCTGTCGCTAATCATGCCTATTTTTCAGATCTTACCAGGCAACCATATTCATATATGAAATCCTTCTGTCCCCCACCCCAACAAATAAATAAATATCAAATGGTTTTCCTCTTATTTAACACAAGTTTAAATTGGTTGATTGTTTGTTGCTAATTTTAACGCCCAGTGAAAATTATTTCATGCTTGTTCAGGAAAACACGAGTTTAGAAGTCACGTATATAATATAAAAATGAAGAGATGGAATATGATTGCTAATAAGGCAACTATCCACCGGAGTTCAAATATGAAGTGGATGTAAGCAATTATAGATAAGATAAGATAAGATAAGAAACATTTATTTTAAGTCGGGTTACATGAAATACT